GGAAAAAAAGACTGTAAACTATCTTAATGTATGTACTGATGACATGTTCAAATGAGAATATTTTGGATGTATTGGGTTAGACTATATTATTAAAATTAACTTGTTTGGGCCGGCCAAGTGGCTCAGTTGGTTAAGAGCTCTCTCAAGAGTGCGAGCTCTGAGCAACAGCGGTTTGAGTCCCGTCCCAAGCTGAGCTGCTGCTGAGTTGCCAACAGGTGGCAGGATGGCTCAGCTAAAAATAAATAAATAAAATTGACTTGTTTCTTTTTACTTTTTTAAAATGTGGATGCTAGGAAATTATAAGTTACACATGTGGCTCATATATATTTCTGTTGCACAGGGCTGATCTGTACTTGGGTCTCTAGACTTCACCTTTCACAGCAAGGTGAAGAGTTGCTGCTGGGAGGTTGTTCCAGGCAGTGGGGAGTGCAGCAGGCTACTCCCCCAGACAGCATGATAACTAGTCCAGAATTAGATGTCTCTGTATGATGTCTAGAACAGAGCAGTGAAACTATAAAAAAAAAAAAAGAAGGATACTGGCTGTGTGACCTTGGGCAAGTCACTTCCCCTTCTCTGAGCCTTACCTTCCTCCCTATTACATCAAAGCCATATGAAATTATTTTCTTATTGGTTGTCTGCCTCCCCTTGTCTAGGATGTGATACCCATGAGGGCAGAGACCTTGCTTCTCTCTCATTCACCTTCTGGACCTACCACATAATAGGTGCTCAGTAAACATCTGGTAAATGGATGAACGGGGAGATTAGTCCCTCCTTGCAAGTAACCCCACACCTGGCAGGAGTCAGGGAAGATTGCTGGGAGAATGGGGGAGGGACTGCTCAGATCCTCTCCAGGCAGAACCAGGAAAAGCTACCTGGGGACCAGAGGCCCCTGCGAGTCACTGCTTCTCTCCCTGTCCCTTGTCCTGGGGGCCACAGGCCGGTTTGAAGCCTCGGTGATCGAGGAGCGACGAAAGGGGGCTGAGGACTTGCTTCGCTTCACTGTGCACATCCC